TTACAGACAAAGATTTTAAATATTTGGTAACTGATAAAATATTACTGGTTGAGGGATGCTAAAATCCTCTTTTGTTGACTTCTTAATAGAATGTTTCACTTTTGTTGTTGTCATTGTTCAATCTCCAAGTCATATCTGACCAAGTTGTATCTTTGCAACCCCAAGGACTGCAAAACTCCAGGACTCCCTGTCCTTCACTGTTTCCTGGAGTTTGCTCAAACTCATGTCCATTGAGTCATCCAATCATCTCATCCTCTGTTGCCCCTTTCTCCTCCTGCCCTCAAGATATCCAGCACCAGGGTCTTTTCCAATGAATCCTCTCTTCCCATCAGGTGGCCAAAATATTGGAACTTCAGGACTGACTACAGCATCAGTCCTTCCAATGAATATTCAGGGTTGATTTCCTTTAGGACTGACTGGTTTGATCTCCTTTCTGTCCAAGTAACTCTCAAGAGTCCTCTCCAGCGCCATAATTTGAAAGCATCAATTCTCTGGCACTCTGCCTTCTTTCTGGTCCAACTCTCACATTCATACCTGGCTACTGAAAAGATCATAGCCTTGACTATATATGGACTTTTGTCGACAAAGTGATGTTTTTACTTTTTAATACTCTATCTAGGTTTTCCATAGCTATCCTTCCAAAAAACAATTGTCTTCTAATTTCATGGCTGCAGTCACCATCCACAGTGACTTTAGAGCCCAGGAAAAGGAAATCTGTCACTTCTTTTACCTTTTCCCCTTCTATTTGCTGTGAAGTGATGGGCTGGATTCCATGATCTTAGTTTTTTTTAATACTGAGTTTTAAGCCAGCTTTTTTTATTCTCTTTCACTCTCACCAAGAGGCTCTCTAGTTCGTCTTCACTTTCTTCCATTAGAGAGGCATCATCTGCTCATCTGAGGTTGTGGGTATTTCTCCCAGTAACCTTGATTCCAGCTTGGAACTCATCCAGCCCATCTCTCATGATGTGCTCTCCATGTAAGTTAAATAAACAGAGTAACAATATAAAGCCTGTCATTCTTCTTTCTCAATTTTGAACCAGTCAGCTCTTCCATATGAGGTTCTAACTGTTGTTTCTTGACCTGCATACAGGTTTCTCAGGAGACAGGAAAGATTATCTCTTATTTCTGTATCTTTAAGAGTTTTCCACAGTTTATTATGATTCACACAGTCAAAGGCTTTAGTGCAGTCATTGAAAGAGAAGTAAATGTTTTTCTGGAATTTTGTTCTTTTGCTATAATCCACTGAATGTTGGCAATTTGATCTCTGGTTCCTTTGCCTTTTCTAAACCAAGCTTGTACATCTGCAAGTTCTTGATTCAAGTACTGATGAAGCTTAGCTTGAAGGATTTTGAGCATAACCTTACTAGCATGGGAAGTGAGTGCATTGTCCAGTAGTTTGAACATTCTTTAGTACTGCCCTTCTTGGGAACTGGGATGAAGATTTACCTTTCCCAGTCCTGTGGCCACTGCTGGGTTCTCCAAATTTGCTGATGTATTAAGTGCAGCACTTTAACAGCACCATCTTTTAGAATTTTAAATAGCTCTGCTGGAATTCCAACACCTTCAGTAGCTTTATTAGCAGCACTGCCTCCTAAGGTCCACTTGACTTCAAACTCCAGGATATCTGGCTTCAGGTGAGAGACCACACCATCATGGTTATCTGAGTCATTAAGAGTTTTTTTGTACAATTCTTCTGGGTATTCTTGCCACCTCTTCTTAATCTCTTCTGCTTCTCTTAGGTCCATACTGTTTCTGTTCTTTATTGTGCCTATCTTTGCACAAAATATTCCCTTGGTATTTCCAATTTTCTTTCCCAGTCTATTGTTTTCCTCTATTTCTTTTCATTGTTCACTTAAGAATGCTTTCTTATATCTCCTTGCTATTCTTTGGAACTCTGCATTCAATTGGGTATATCTTTTCCTTTCTCCTTTGTCTTTTGCTCCTTTTTTTTTTTTTCTCAGCTATTTGTAAGGCCTCCTCAGACAACCATTTTGGTTTCTTGCATTTCTTTTTCTTTGGGATGGTTTTGATCACTGCCTCCTGTACAATGTTATACACCTCCATCTATAGTTCTTCTGCACTCTATCAGATCTAATCCCTTGAATTGATTTGTCACTTCCACTGTATAATAGTAAGGGACTTGATTTAGGTCATACCTGACTGGTCTAGTGGTTTTCTCCACCTTATTTTAAGCCTGAATTTTTATATAAGGAGTTGATGATCTGAGCCACAGTCAGCTCCAGGTCTTGCTTTTGCTGACTGTATAGAGCTTCTCCAGTATTCTGGCATGGAGAATTCCATGGGCTGTATAGTCCAGAGGATCCCAAAGAGTTGGACATGACTGAGCAACTTGTACTTGCATAGACCTTTTCCATCTTTGGCTGCACAGAAATATAATCAATCTGATTTCATTATTGACTATTTGGTGATGTCCATGTAAAGTCATCTCTTGAGTTATTGAAAAAGGGTATTTACTATGACCAGTGTATTTTCATTTACTGATTCCTAAGATGTCAATGTTCAGTCTTACCACCTCTTGCTTGACCACATCTAATTTACCTTGATACATGGACCTAAGATTTCAGGTTCCTTGCAATATTGTTCTTTACAGCATTAGATGTTACTTTCACCACCAGCCACATCCACAATTGAGTGTCATTTCTGCTTTGACCCAGCCACTTCATTCTTTTTGGAGCTACAGGTAACTGCCCTCCACTCTTTCCCAGTAGCATATTGGACACCTTCCAACCAGGGGGCTCATTTTCTGGTGTTACATATTTTTGCCTTTTCATACCATTTATGGGGTTCTCATGGCAAGGATATCAGAGTAGCTTGCCATTCCCTCCTCCAGTAGACCATGTTTTGTCAGAACTCTTCATTATGACCCATCTGTCTTGGGTGATTCTGCATGGCATGGCTCATAGCTTCATTGAGTTATGCAAGCCCCTTTGTCATGACAAGCTGTGATCCATGAAGAAGCAAAAATGATATACTAAACATTAAACCTCTGTAAGTATTCTTATATTTTTCTGAATTTTATATACATATAATTTTAAATATCATTTATATTACTGGTTTTTAGACTAAGAATCTTTGGTTCAGAGAGATTTCAGGTTGATATATTGCTATGTTAATTAATGTTTTGTGCAATTTTTGTTAGTTACCAATTTTCTTCCAGAAAAATCATCCAGGCTGAGCTTCTGAATTGTCTATTTAAATTTTGCACCTATGTCTGTATTTGCATGGTTTAAAAGAAATTATCTCTGTCAATCTAAGTTTAGCTACTTAGATTAGATATATTTCCGAAAACAAGCAACCACCACAGGGTAAGCAAACATACTGAATGACTATGATTAATGTACTGCTGATGATGTTGAAAACAACGAATGAGTCAATTAATGAGTCAATTACCTGTTGATCTAAATAACCAATGAAGAAACAAGCTAACTCACTTGTTAACATCAATTGTGTGTTTGGTATTTAGGTGTTTTGATGTAATCATAACAAGGTGTATAAAAACTGACAAGTTTGACATTTTCAATCATTTTTCTCCTTCATGATTTCTCAAGGCACTCTTTTAGTATCTCTCCTACTGGGTAAATTTATCATTATTAAATGGATAAACAAGGAATTGAAGAGTACAAAATTGGCACTAAGTAACTATGTACTTTAGTAAAAGTTTGTTAATATTTCTCAGACTCAATTTTTTCACCTGTATATTAAAGGGATTATAATAGAAGTATCTGGAGTTTCTTTAAATTTCAAAATTATTCATACTATGAATCTGATCCATGCATTCTGAAAAAGTTAACACAGTCAAGAAATGATCAGAAAATGTCAGTTTTTACTTGTGAATACTTTGCCTAAGGATATCAGATTATCAAGATTTAAAGTTTAGTATGCAATTTAGACGGAGAAGGCAATGGCACCCGACTCCAGTACTCTTGCCTGGAAATCTCATGGATGGAGGAGCCTGGTGGGCTACAGTCCACGGGGTGGCTAAGAGTCAGACAGGACTGAGCGACTTCAATTTCATTTTCACTTTTATGCATCGGAGAAGGAAATGTCAACCCACTCCAGTGTTCTTGCCTGGAGAATCCCAGGGGCAGGGGAGCCTGGTGGGCTCCCATCTATGGGGCCACACAAAGTCGGACACGACTGAAGCGACTTAGCAGCAGCAGCAGCAGCATTGTGCAGTTTAGAAAGAGTATGATTTAAGACTATAAAATCATTAATATCATAGACATTGTTAACATAGTTTTATATTCTTGTAAATGCAAACCAGAACAATAACTATGCAGGACACTAAATTATGTGAAATTTGCTATAAAGACATTTCTTATTAGCTTACTTTTGAAATATCCTTCTACCTCTTTCATGGGTTTATTCAAAGAGTTTGTGTACAAATCCTCATTAAGCATTTCCCCATCAATGCTAAAACAAACATATGCTTATTTTCTCTTCTTCAGAAATGTTTTACCTCAACTACTGAGTAATGCTTAGGTTCTCATTAAAAAATCATTGTAGAAAGACTAAGTTTAAATCTGAATAACTTGAAAATAACCAACTTTATATCAGTTCACTAATATATTGATTACACTATTGCCAACAAGCTAATATAAATTTCTTTGATGTAAGTATAATTCAGGTACAAGTATAGAGACTGATGACTACATGGTAATGGGCAAGAGAAGAAAAATTCATTTGTAAAAAGCAAACTATTAGAAATCATATTCCCAATTTGACTTTTGTCAAATCTTCTTTTTTCTTTTAAGTGAAATACAGATGAAGGAAAATGAAGGCAAGTGTTAGAGGACACATGCACATATACAGATCTACACACACAGAAAGATCTTTAAAGTTTTAAGAACATAAAGAGGTTATAAAGTCAGCTTAATTAAACAAGTAGTTATGCTGTTTCAGTGTTTGGATAGGAATATTAACAATATAGCAGAAAAACAGCAGAAAAAGGAAAAGCACAGCCTGAAGCTTGGCATCACTTGTCAGTCCAAGAAGGATGAACTCTATCACTGATGTTTGGTTTCCCATAGTTAACGTCTGACAAGTTAAGGAAGAATAAAATAATAATGATATCGGTTGGAATAAAAGTTATAAGGTTTTATTGAAAAATAAAATCAAACTCAAAACAATTAGAAGTAAAATTTAAAACTCAGAATCTTTCTCTTCCCCTTATTTCTTCAGTCAGATCTTTTAATGAAACAATTTACACATTTTCCTCTTTTGATTCATAAATAACAAAGATACTGCTTCTTAGAGACATTTTCAATTGTTTCTTCTAAAATGTATCAATATTTGTTTTTCATCATTGTCCCACTTATTTGCACTTTCCTTTATATTCTTTCTATTTTAATTTTCTTCTCTAAACTATTGGATGCTGTCACACATACATACACAAATATAAAGAAAATTTAGAGAGTAGGTTTTATTTGGGATTTCTTAAATTAGCCTTTTAACTCAATTTATTAGCCAACAAATATATATATAATCCAAGGTATGAACTCTAGGAATAAAATTGGACTTGCTCCCCCCCCCTTTTTTTTTTTGCTGTTTTGCATTTTCTCTTATTTCATATTTCTCATTTTGAACAATAATTCTGTGTACCTACTAGAGTTCAAAAAGTGGATAGATATTTCTTTTAATTCTGAAGTGTTTGGAACTTACAATACTGACAGTTTCTGTGTCATGAAAATTGTTCAATAAATGACATCACCATTTAATATAGATATATGGATTAATCTTCCCTTGGTGAAATATTAAATATAAAAAAATACTGTGCTTTCTTGCTATTAGCAGAATCTTCCCATCAACCTATTACAGTTCCTTGAAAGTCAGTTCAAACTCTGCTCTCCATACAACTTTATCTGACAAACACAATTAGCAATAATTATTTCTCCTTTATAAAAATTTATCAGAAAGTAATATTGGGTCATAAAGACAAATTACTTTCTAATTATATCAAATATGTACACTTTATCCAACTTTTACATAAACCTATAGCCCACAAGAACAGGCTCCAGTTTTCTTTATATCTTTTTTAGAGAGGCTAGAAAATTGCACAGATTTAGTAAAAATTTCAATGAAAAATATTTTTTTTTACTTATCTTTAGATTCATGGGGCTTCCCGGGTGGCACTAGTTGTAAAGAACCCACCTGCTAATGCAGGTGATGTAAGAGATACAGGTTCAATTCCTGGGCTGGGAAGATTCCATGGAGGAGGAAATGGCACCCCACTCCAGTATTCTTGCCTGGAAGATCCCGTGAATGGGGAAGCCTGGCAGCCTACAGTCCATTCATAGACTTATTCAATTGAATACTATAGAGTTTTATGCAAATTGAAACTCCAACTAAGTTTATTCATACAGCTTCTCAGATTTTTCTTTTAATATTTTCCATAATCAGACATGAAAAAATATCACTATGAGAATGATTTTCCTAGTAAAACATTATGAGGTTTCTTTTTCATTTACCTATTGTTTCACTACTTATGTTGACATATGTTCATATGATGATATGCAATAAGGCAGTGAGAGTAATACATTACATCCTTATCAAGGTAAAAATTCCAGAAATGTCTGATACACATAAAAGGGTAACTTGCTGGGAGGATTTATTGTATGATAGAATTATGTCGGAAAATTTGAAGATTCATGTCTCCTGATATTATAACTATAACCAATATGCACTTTTGTACAGAATTGTCTCTTTTGTTAACTACCTCTACTTAATGTATTAACATGAAGTTATAACATGCTGTGCAGTTATACAGTATTAGTGTACTAAAAATCCTGTTATGTTAATAATGAGATAAATGTACCAATAATATAAATTTAAATGTTAATTGATTATGGTTATCTATGTCAGAATATATTATCTTGACTACTTTGTAATGAGCACAGATAATTGAATGTGAGAAATTAAAAATTATGCACAAATAATGAATTTCACAGAAATATTTTATATTCAGAGACATACTAGGATAGTACTTCCACTATCAAAAGCTAGCTCATTAAATTTTAATATTGCCACAACTACCTGAAATAAATCTTGAGATTTGAACAAAGAGTAATGATTTTCTCCTTTCTACATAAAAATATCTAGTGTATCATATAGTTTGAATATATCGATGTTAATCTACTGGTTTGAGGTTCTAGCTATTAAGCTTCAAAATTATACTTTAGAAATTCATTAATCAATCAATTATATTCACTAAACAACAACAATATTCTGAAATTTTCATTGTTTAGCATTTTTGATGTAATAAAAACTTTGTAAATAATTCCCACATAATAAAAATTATAGCAAAAACACTTTTATATAAGTGATCTCATCTATTAAATAAAAGATGAAGAAAATGATATTTTTATATAAGAAGAAAATTTTATAGTAAACATTTTAGCATAATAAAAGATGATAATCATTTAAGATTAAAATTAGTGTTATTTCCAGAAAAAAAAATATATGTACTCATATATAAAATTACATCTATATATGATCAAATAATATTTCATTCAAACAAGATTTATTTAGCAAAAGATGCATTTGTCATTAAAAGGCATACTGCTAAGACACTGATTTTAAAAAGATAAGGTTTATTTGTAGTTGAAAAGATGTTGATAAACTTTCCCAGACTTTTCTGGATATCATTAGTTTGGAATCCCTTCACAATGAATTATATATAACTCTCATGTTTAGTCTCTGTCTCTTTCTGCAGTGGACCCTAAGCATTAGAAACCTCTATCCCTTTATGAAACATTGTTCTCAATTACATTTGGGAGGAATGTTAAGAAAACTGAATCCATGAAAAGTAGGAATTGGAATAGTCGAAAAACAAGAAAAAAGTTATTTATTTTACCACTTCAAGCTCTAATTCTGTGAGTGTGGCATAACATTTTTCTGGCTTGAAAATACCTTTTGCTGTTAAAACATAATGCTTTGAAAAAGTTTACCTTTATTTAAGTCAATCAAAATTTTATGAAAAAGAATATGTGTGCAGTTATGTCAACAAGTAAACATGAAAGGTATACAAACAAAACAATAAGACACATCTCCACACATCTCTAGTTAAATGCAGCAGTCATCAGCCCTCTGCTACCTCAAATAGGTAAATCAGTTCTATCTTCACTCCACATCAGCTCCTTTTGTGGCTGAAAGAAACAATATAAAGTTTTAGAACCCACTGGGAAATCCTCCCTGGGCCATGAGAATTTGTCTGCTTCAAAACACTCAGGAAGAGCCTGGTTTTCTCTCCTAACAAAGGTGGGTCGAATTAGAAGGTAGGAGAAGAAAAAGGTGGGCCTGTGTAGAGAGTATACCCAGGCTGCAATCCCCTGCCAAATCTTCCCTACAATTTCATTGCTTTTAGAAATTATCTATCACTCTTTTTCATATTCACTTTGCTGTTTCCTGGTCATGTAAGAGCATTACCAGCTCGATGCTCTTCCATCTTTCTGCGTTCTTTCTCCAGCCATCACAGGACTGGCGTTCCCTCTTGTCACTCAGATGTCAGAAGTGGGCACGCCTAGCAGAAGCCGCCCTGACCAGACCACACAGGACAGTCACTACTCAGTCACATTTGACACCTTAGCTTGCTTGATGTTTCATACAGAGTAGATTTTCTTTTATTGTTAACATCAATCCTAAATTCTATTCTTTTTTTATTTGCTTTCATGTATATTGCATATCATCATCACTAAAATGTAACTTCCACTAAGTGAAGGACTTTTATTAATGCTAGGTCTTAAGTCACTAAGTGTTATGAAAGTGACCAGTACTTATATAAAATTCTATTAATATATGTGAATTGCATCTTTTTTTACCTGATTCTTATTTAATATCAGTTTTCTCTAGGTTTGAGCTATTCTAGCATGTCATATTACTTTAAATTTTCATGAGAGATCAATAGTCTTTAAATTCCTTTTCTCTAAATCAACCCAAAGATACTCCAACATAGAAAAAAGTAAGGTTGACAGATTAAAAGCAGTGCAAATTTCAAATAAACATTTGGTTTATATCAAGTACTTGAAATATACTGATCTGAAAGCACCTCTGAAGTATTCATTTAAGAAAATATATTTCATTCTAACATTTCCTATTTAAGGAATAACAAGAGAATTTTGTCATCTCTGTCTAAAAAATCATTCTGATAAATATTTCTAATTGAATCATGTGAAAACACATACAAACATCAAAATAAAATATTTGTATTTTTATAAGCAAAGTGAATGCAAGAAAAATGAAATGGAATGTCAGGATTATACAGGGAAATTATGATTATTTTCCTAACTCCATTCTGTTTTTTATAAATTAATTGATGAATTATAATTAAAGAATTATATAGATGATTCTTCTAATCTCCAATATACATGTGTATCTCTTTAGTATAAATTCAATTTAGTGATGAGAAATATATTCAACTAAGCATATGTTTAAAAATAATCAGGTCTATAAGATAAATAGTGTATGAAATAAACACATATATTTTTTATTTTTTTTAAATTTTTTATTATTTGGAGGCTAATTACTTTACGATATTGTAGTGGTTTTTGTCATACATTGACATGAATCAGCCATGGATATACATGTATTCCCCATCCTGATCCCCCCCTCCCACCTCCCTCTCCACCCGATCCCTCTGGGTCTTCCCAGTGCACAAAATACAATAGATTATTAATGCATATGAGATATATATAAATATATAAATACCTATAGGTGATAAAGCATATATATATATATACACATAATATATATACTAAATATATCCATGACTCAAAATTATTGTACTCAATGAAAAATTTCTATATACAAAACAGAAATATTAAAAAAATATTGTATGCAATTAAATATTAAAAAAATATTGTATGCAATTTGAACTTCTTCCAGATCGCAACTTATTGCTTGCCTGACACAACATTTTCACACACATGCTAATGTAATAATTTCAATATTTTCTCAGGGAAACATCAGTTTCACTCTTGAACTTCCCTTGATTAATCTATGCATAAATAACATACTTTCCTCCTTTTATATAT